TATATATTGCATGTATTTTAAAATTAAATATAATCTCTTTTAGCAGATTTTAAAGCAATGAATCTACAAATGTTAGATTTATTTATATTATATATTCAAACTATATATATCAAATATATATATAACTAATAAAAATAATTAATATTTTAAGAAATATATAATTACAACATGAGTGACATAATTACGAATGATTAATATTAGGTATATGAAGAAAACAAAAAATAAATTATTCACTCTATAATTGCTTTGCTGTCGCCCGATACCTCTTTGGGCATAATTCTCCACTTATTTACTCTACTTATTTATTCCTTTGTAGCACAAATACTCGGTTATTGAAGTATATATTGATGATTAATTTATTGTATAGATTAATAATTGTTAATACATTTGCGAGGAATGATATTTCAGTCCTTGCGATCACACCTCGACAATCAACACGCTACGATATGCTACTACGATTTTACATTGCCGGCTGGTTTGAGTCTCACCATGCGAACGTAAACAAGGTGACCACATGTATACCTAATATGCCGTACGATAAAAAAACAAACATTGTTCCACAATATACTGGCCAATTGGGGTGGCCGTTATAAAATATTCATCTCACTGTAAAATACATATATATATCAAATATCTTGTTTTTCATGCTTTAAAATAATTGTTAATAAACGATCGGTGTATCACGTGCTCAGTTTAAATTACTTGATTCGTACTTCAAATATTACATTGAAAAAAATACTAAATTTTTTAAATAATAAATATTTGTTTAAATATTTATAAATAGATGTAGACATATTTACTTAAAACCATTAATTTAATTTAACTTCATTATTTTCATTACGTAAATATTTATTTACTACAAGTAAATGTTTACTTACATAGTACTGTTCAAAGAAATATGTATTAAGATATAGTTAATTTTTTTCAGTGTACCTCGCATTTGTTATAATGTGAAAATAGATAGGTCGACGAGATATTAAAAGCACGCGTGATTTAATGTATATGGGGTATGTTAAGTTAGCACCCCAACTATAGTACTCAGGAGTTCTGATTAGAGTTCCCACTTCCTTTTGACGAGACGAAGAGTTCCCTATAGTTAATAACAAGAGTTCCGCTCAATAAACATTCTTTTTACATTTTTTAAGAATGGGGTGCTAACTTTCTATTGAATTTCGAGGTGGAATAGTTCTGAGCGGCTTAATAGCTTCAATTTGCGGTTGCCTAGCGAGTTTCTGATATGTAAAAAAAATTTTCGAATAATAAAAAAAAAATTGAAAATTTTTGAAGAATTAATTTTTAGATACAATAGTTCTGAAGATAATTCCTGCTTCTTTTTGACGATACGAAAAGTTCTCTATGATTTTTAATGACATATGCGCTTAATAATCATTTTTTAATAATTTTTTAAAAATGGGGTGCTAACTTTTTAACGAAATTCAAGGTCGCATAGTTCTGATCAGCTTAACAGAAGTATTTTGTGAATACCTAGAGTTCATGATACATAAAAAACATTTTTGAAGAATAATAAAGTTTAAAAAAAATATTAGAAATCTTCGAAAATTTTTTTGAGAGTACCGAGTAGTTCTGAGTTGCGTTTCTTATAGTACTCGACGAGTTCTATCGAAAACTGTAAGGTGGAAAAGCGATTGGACCAATGATTTCCAAGATATACTCTAAAAATTGTTGATCTGTCAACAAATGTCGCTGTATCTTGCAAACCGTTGGTCCAATCGCTTTTCTACCTTACAGTTTTCGATAGAACTCGTCGAGTACTATAAGAAACGCAACTCAGAACTACTCGGTACTCTCAAAAAAATTTTCAAAGATTTCTACTATTTTTTTTAAACTTTATTATTCTTCAAAAATATTTTTTATGTATCAAGAACTCTAGGTATTCACAAAATACTTCTGTTAAGCTGATCAGAACTATGCGACCTTGAATTTCGTTAAAAAGTTAGCACCCCATTTTTAAAAAATTATTAAAAAATGATTATTAAGCGCATATGTTATCATTAAAAATCATAGAGAACTCTTCATATCGTCAAAAAGAAGCAGGAATTATCATCAGAACTATTGTATCTAAAAATTAATTCTTCAAAAATTTTTAATTTTTGTTTTATTATTCGAAAATTTTTTTTACATATCAGGAACTTTAGGCAATCGTAAATTGAAGCTATTAAGCCGCTCAGAACTATTCCACCTCGAAATTCGATAAAAAGTTAGCACCCCATTTTTTAAAAATATAAAAAAAAATGTTTATAGAGCGGAACTCTTGTTATTAACTATAGGGAACTCTTCGTCTCGTCAAAAGGAAGTGGGAACTCTAATCAGAACTCCTGAGTACTATAGTTGGGGTGCTAACTTAACATACCCATGTATATGTAGTATATATAAGTACATCACTCAGAAATGCATTTATCGCCTGTAAATATTGCAATGAGACAGCTTATAATTCCCATTTCCCTGTCATAACGATCTACTTTAAACAGATCAGTCGCGTGAAGTATTTGATCCGATAACTAGCTGTTACATCGCTATTCGGAATTGTTAATACCACTGGATTAATTAGTCACGCAAACTGATTACAAAATGAATTATAGATTTACATTCTATAGATTTTATAAAGAGTTGTCACGCAAGCCAGTCGGAAAAACAATAAAGTTTAAAAAGTATATAAAAGAGGAAATATTGGTAATAGGAATAAATATCAAGATTTCAAACTATTAAAAACTATATATTGTAACTATTAACTAATTTCTGATAAATTGAAATCTTAATGTTTGTTTCTGTATTTCAGTATTTATTATATACCTATATTATTATATACCTATCAAATATTTCCCTCATTGTGCGCAGGACAAAATATGTTCAAAATAGGTTATTACATGTATAATATAGTTTTAATTGTATAGAATTTCTCGTATATTTCCAAATTGATAATAATTAGTAATAAATTATTAACAAATTAATTAATATTATTTAATTAACTTTTAGTTACACGTAATGATTTTCCCACTATGTACTGTACATAATAAATCTTTCGTATTTAGATTAATTTTCCTCACTTTTGCAAGTATACGAAAATTATTAAGTGATTACTAATTCTTATATATCCTATAAAAAGTATTTGTAAAATTTTATATTTAAAGAAAAGTAATGCGCAGGACACGGATGATTAAATCTTGTGTACTAAAGTATTGATTAACGTATTAAAATTTTAAATTGTTTAGAAAATTTATACTATAATAATTGATAAACCTAATTATAAAATATATAATTTATTAATTGATAATGCTTTTGAGGCTCTTACGGGTATTAAATATTTTCAAAGATATTAAGTATCTACAAAGGTTTGCGTGTTATCGCCATGTTTTTATCTATTGCTATTGCCAATTTATTAAATCTACGTCAATGTTTAATTGTTAAAACTAATCGTTATTATTGATATGGATTAGTTTTAATGTAATTGGCATCTTTTCAATTGTAAATTACGTAAAGTTTATAAAATTAATGTTTATAAAATTAAAACGATTGCAAAACAGTTTATATTTATTATGATATATTCAACACATGATCGATGCTGGACATCTATTGAGGATCGTGAAAATTTTAAGCCTACTTTACCATCGACCGATGGTTTCTTCCGATCTGGTAAGACCGGTTCTTTATATTCTTCAATATACCCTCGAGGGATTTTTCATTTGTTGTATTATATCTATCATAGAGGCAGCTGCAATACCTGCAGATTCGCAGGAGTGGAAAGCAGCGACTAAAGTAAGCGTATAAATAAAAAAGCAAAAAGATTGGAAAAAGAACATACAACATAATCATTTCATAGATTTCATTTTAAAAAGTCTAGTCAAACTAAATTTAATACTATATACATACAAAATTATATGCAATAAAATATTTTTTTTTTATAGTTTACATATTATCTTACAATTAGCTATTATTATTATGTTGTAAAATGTAAAAAACGCGCGAAAAATTTTAATAATTTTTATAAAACTCTTTTTTACTTTGTATAATAATAAAAAAAGAAAATATCTTAATAATATTTCAGTGAGTAAGAATTTCGAAAGTACAGTGATATAACAATACTAATTCCCACGAGCAATTGGTTCCAAATCGAAGGAAAGTTGAACGACCATGAAAATGAACAAGACGATCTTCCTCATTCGAGCAATAAATGGAACCGCATCGTACAGATTCCATCGTTTCACCGCAAAACCGCAAAGTATGTGAAACTATTTCCGAAATGGTACTGTACTTCCTGTCATCGATTTTTAAATTCGAAGATAGGTGGAATTTCTTTTCAGAAAATATGAAACGTGATTGCAAATTGATCGAATCTTTTGGCATTTCTCGCTCTATTTGATCATACTAAACTATTATTCTAATTTTAACTCATCTGGAAATATAATTTCTAACTTAAAATATTAAATTCGCGTGTATGAAAAATGAGCTGCAAAAACACGATGAAATCCGAAGAGACAGAAGAGCCGTAGCTCGCAGGAACGTGGCATTGCGAACGCTTTTTGAGCGTGTGATTCACGGACGATCTGGCAACAACGGGGCCCAAGGAGCAGAGATCTTGCGGGAGTACAAGTCCCGTGAGATAGAAGCACGATGAACATGAGCAGAAAAAGGAGCCACATAGACGCAGTGTGACTGAGCTGAAGAGCCTGTGGAAGGCGGGAAGAGAGAAAGACAGAAAAGAGAGACCGGCCTGTGAGATTGCTTGAGAGGCAGCATAGTCGAGCGTGAGGACCTGGTCCAGCGCTTATAAAATGAACTCGTCTTGAAAAGTAAAAATGTTTTCCTGAAGATTTCCTTTCGTCGCGACGATTTTTCCCGAAAAAACGAAAACTCGAAAGTAACCGGAAGTGGAAACATTTCAAAACGACAGTCGAAAGAAAAGATATGCAGTGCAAAGTTCGATTATTGGCCTCCTCTATGTGATCTGCTAAGAATCATCTAGTTCCTTTCGTGCTCCTGACAAGCGACTCACTGATCCGGTGCGCAAAGGTAAGCGTCACTCAATTGATGCATCGATTGCTCGCCCGTAGCGTTGAATTTTCGCCAGATCTTCTCAATAACGTTATCACTATCGAATTGTATAATAGTGCCGCAATGTGATGTGCAATCTTCGATTCGAAATCGGATTCTATTTATGTTTTGATCATGTGTCAACGTATAAGGTTTCCGTAAGGCGTGTGATGAATGTATTTTTCGATAAAAAAGGTGATAGAAAAAGAGTCAAGAAAAGCCAAACGAAGCGTAGTGTTTAAACATTCATTACTAAAATTGTTAAAGAGATTAGGATTTTGGTATACAAAATCATTAACAAAAATACACTATTCAGTCATTACTAACCATAGACAAAAATTTTCTTACAAGTTTGACATTTCACTTTCGGACGTAAAATTACATTATATAGAAATATTAATTTCTAAAATCAATTATTTACGTTAAAAAACAATCCCAGGGATTATAAATTTAAAGAGTAACATAGATTGTTTGGATCTTCTTTAACAACATTATCGCCTTAAAAAGAAATGCTTCTTGATTTTATAACTTTTAATATTATGACTTTTAATAACTCGTTTATAATTGACATGAATCAAAAAAGTAGACTAAACTATACATATTGTAGTCTATTTAAGCATAAGTCTTCGGATTATAATGAATTTTGAGATATAGCTAGATACATATGATAAAGTGGTTTTAATGCATGGGCCGCGATTAGTTGTGACAAGCGTTAAAAAGTTTAAAGATCACGTTATTTGGTTGTTCATCATTTAATAAACGATCATACTTTGTTTTTGTTTACACAAGTTTTTATTTAGTGTACTTATTTCAACGACAATTATATCTGTATGTTTATGCCTTTTACTGTGCTTTTGCTTTCACTTTTTGTATTTCAATCAGACGTCTTATAAGTTAGAATATAAATAATATTCTTATTTCTTGCTCATTTGTTGCTAACAAAATTGCCAAAGAAAAATATTTGTTGCTCAATTAGTTTTCTTTTTAAAAAAATATTCAGCTAAAGAAAGATTAAGTTAACAGAACAATATATACATAGAATAAAGCCGATTTAAAAAAACTGCTTTAATTTGGCAAAAGAAAAAGTTGCAGAAAAATTGTTGATTCATGGACAAACCAACATCTTCAACATTTGTTATACTTGTAACAGATATAATTTACGTAAATTAGGTGTTAAAGTACTTAAATGTTGATACTTCCTTGAATAATACAATTATAATAGAATAAGTAAGGAGAAACTATTCGCAATAACATCAATCCTAAAAGAATATGAATCATTATACATGAATTTTACACACACATACACAAACACACACACACACACACACAAGACAATTTAAATTTTACTCAAGAAGATATGAGTCCACTACAAAATACTAAGAAAAGATTCGTATAATAATTTACCAAAGGAAAAAATATTTTTAGCGTCGTTTTCTTACAATGTGGACATTAATGAGTACTTTTTGCAATCAAACTCTTCACTAAACAAAGATTTAAAAGACGATCAACGTCTTTCGCTTTTGATTTTTTCAGAAAGCAAAGAATCAACATATATGATGAACACGCTTTATCGCCAATCATTCATAACAATGAACACCTTTTCCCAGTAGATCCTTCACGAAGCAAAAAATGGAAAGATTATGAACGCGTTTCACCACCTATTATTCGAAATAATTTGGTTTCAGACGTGCAGACGATAAAATTTTCTCCTCAAATATGTATACAGACAGATAAATATTTAAAAAATGATGCATCAGTTTATGGAAATCCTATTATGATCCTATTATAAATATATTATAAAATATATGTATAAATAATATAAAAAATATTATTGCTATACACGCATGGTGATAGAGGTTCGGAAAAAATTCTAAAATCTAGTCTAAGAAATCTACAAATATCCTGCTCGAATGGTTGCATAATTAAATGAAAAATAATGAATATTTTACTTTTAGAAAATTCAAATTTATATATATATAATGAAAGAAATTTATTCAATAATATAATTAAAAATTACTTAACATTTACGCCAAAAATATGTCAAATATGTTGTATGAATACAAGCTAAAGTTTGTAGTAGCTAGTAAAAATCATATTAAAAATTTGCAAAGAGACATGCACATGCAAGAGAATAGTTTAAATTTGCGCTCTGACACTGAATATTTGCACTATAATTATGTACAAATTCTTAACTACATAAAACAGCTTTAAAAGTTTAGTTATATACACGTATTTTAATTATATTTATTGAATTGTATTCATTTATTACACTTTTCCTAACAATAATTATTTTTATCATTGACTTATGTATGTACCCTTTATATTTACACTATCAACTGACAGTCCTTGTATAATATTTTAAAATAAACAGTTAAATATCAGACACTCAAGCGCGAGCATATTATATTGAATAGTTGTACCAAAGTAATGTAAATTTGCGATTTAACTTAATTATTGCTGTGAACAATCTATTGTTTTAGGACATCTTCTTTGTATTGTGTAAGGTCACTCACTTTTTATTCCCTGACGATCAAATGGACTTTAATTATTACCAATTAAATTTAACAGAAATTTCAACATCAAATCTGTAAATCTGATGTGACTCGTTAGACAATAACAAAGGAGGCATTTTAAATTTGTATTAGCTAAAGATGACTCCAAAAAGAAACGTTCTAAATTTTGTTATTTCAATGAAATAAAGGAGTAATTTGAACAAATTCACTTCTTATTACTGTGCGATACCAACAAACAACGCTGCACTCTCATTCGACCTTAATTTACCAGATTTCATGGTTTCAAAACAGAAAAGTACATACTTTCACAGCTGTGACAGATTATATTAATTACTAGCTTCTGTTCGAGCCAATCTGAACAATTAATTCTTTATGGCATTATTAGAGACAAATGTTAAAACATCACTGGCAATGACATTTTAATTGAATCACAATGCCCGGAATACGATACAACGCGTGCAGGGAAACGCGCTGGAAGGGTAATGAATAATGAAAGAAATTTATTCAATAATATAATTAAAAATTACTTAACATTTACGCCAAAAATATGTCAAATATGTTGTATGAATACAAGCTAAAGTTTGTAGTAGCTAGTAAAAATCATATTAAAAATTTGCAAAGAGACATGCACATGCAAGAGAATAGTTTAAATTTGCGCTCTGACACTGAATATTTGCACTATAATTATGTACAAATTCTTAACTACATAAAACAGCTTTAAAAGTTTAGTTATATACACGTATTTTAATTATATTTATTGAATTGTATTCATTTATTACACTTTTCCTAACAATAATTATTTTTATCATTGACTTATGTATGTACCCTTTATATTTACACTATCAACTGACAGTCCTTGTATAATATTTTAAAATAAACAGTTAAATATCAGACACTCAAGCGCGAGCATATTATATTGAATAGTTGTACCAAAGTAATGTAAATTTGCGATTTAACTTAATTATTGTTGTGAACAATCTATTGTTTTAGGACATCTTCTTTGTATTGTGTAAGGTCACTCACTTTTTATTCCCTGACGATCAAATGGACTTTAATTATTACCAATTAAATTTAACAGAAATTTCAACATCAAATCTGTAAATCTGATGTGACTCGTTAGACAATAACAAAGGAGGCATTTTAAATTTGTATTAGCTAAAGATGACTCCAAAAAGAAACGTTCTAAATTTTGTTATTTCAATGAAATAAAGGAGTAATTTGAACAAATTCACTTCTTATTACTGTGCGATACCAACAAACAACGCTGCACTCTCATTCGACCTTAATTTACCAGATTTCATGGTTTCAAAACAGAAAAGTACATACTTTCACAGCTGTGACAGATTATATTAATTACTAGCTTCTGTTCGAGCCAATCTGAACAATTAATTCTTTATGGCATTATTAGAGACAAATGTTAAAACATCACTGGCAATGACATTTTAATTGAATCACAATGCCCGGAATACGATACAACGCGTGCAGGGAAACGCGCTGGAAGGGTAATGATCGTTGCTGATTGCGAGCTCTCATGTTGGTGGTACAATCGTCGGCCGATGCGTTCAAAAACTACAAAACCCAACTAATTAAAAGGGAATCAGGAGGTCCGATCGCCATTGGTATCACTCCACACCGCAATAACACAAAATCACTCCTAGCTACGAGTCGCGATTGACGGGATGAACCAACGAACGCACGCGCTCGCACAAATCAAATATTAATGGCGCAATTTGCACCGATTGTACCTTAATCGGTTTTGCTTTTTCTCCAACGTCCGCGAATTTCCGCGTCCGTGACGCAGCGCAACCGACTCGTAAAAAAAACCTCGACGGGACGCGTCGCCATCCGTTGCGCGCAACTGTCAACTTCTTGCTGCTCTCGCAGTCCTATTAATTTCGGATTATCGCAAATTGCTACCGTTGTCTTCCATTACGAGATTTTCCTGACAACGGGGATGCGATAAGAAATAAATGATAAATGGGTACTCCCTCTAGAGCCTTTAGAGCAAATACATTCCTCGTTTACGTTTTTACGACTAGAGACCGATTCAGAAAGAGACTGTAGATTAATTATAAATACGCGTTTAATTTCCCATCAAATTGCGTAATATTCTTTAGACAGTATAATTAAATTTTCTTCTAAAAGGATACACATAAATTATAATTTTTAATAAATTGTAATTATTCCCCGTGCTTTTAATAATATAGGAATTAAGTTGGATCTGTACACAATACCGATATTTATGATACAAGTGACAAGTTTGCAATCTGCAGGATTTGTTTTGTTAATTATTCAAACCGATTACTTAATTCAGTTTTGATTAACGATCGTCTGCGTACAAGGACAAGCACGAGAACAATGGGAACTAGAGCTGTTGCCGTTGCGGCGGCGGCAGGTGCTGCTGGGATGTCTGGTGAAGCGGGATTGGCTGGTGTACCAAGACTGCTGGAGGATCTGGCACGACTCTCGGAGGATAAAGACTCGGCTGATATCGTGTTCCTACTAGGGAGAGACGAGACCCCTGTTTATGCCCACAGAATAATACTTCAAGCCAGGTTAGTCTTAACGAGCCATTATTTATGAAACATTAATTTTATCCTCTAATTTGAAGAAAATAAGATCTCGTGATATTTCTATATACAGTGTTACGTAATTAGCGAATGTAATATTTAATACCGCAGAGAAACTTGAATACGTTATAAATTTGAGAAATTTATTAAAAAATCTCTCTCTCTCTCTCTCTCTCTCTCTCGATTAATCCCCTTAACTCGATTAATATATATTATGTGATAAATGGAACTTTTTAAGAAGTGGAGATATGATTGTTTTATTATATCAAACATTTATATCTGATATTTCTCGATACCGTTGGTAATTTGAGTCAGGATATCGATTATTTCGATAAAGATGAAGAAGTATGAGTGCGGAGTGTATGATATCCTCTGGGTGTTGGATTAATTGTCAGTAGTTTTTATTGTAGCATTCCGCTGTTATTATATCGGCTGAATTACTACGAGCGAGATTTCCTCGGAGAGTTTAAATACCGTAAAAGGAATTGTCCCGTAATTAATTGTCATATGAGAATCAACACCGCGATTTTAAAGCGTACGAATTTTAAATATAAAGAAAATATTTCCACGAATATAAAATATTCAATGTGAATTCAATGTACGTATCATGCGAAATTAAATTTAACATGAAATGAAATACTTAAAAAAAACACTATCTTCAGTAAGCGAGAAGGACTATTAGTTTACAGTTACACTATAAATAGAGATATTAATGCGAGATGAAAAGCCATTTCGTTTTCATTGAAAAATACGGTAAACATATTTCTCTTTTACGAGATAAAACAAACACAGCTTGTTATTCGCAACTCCTAAGAAATATTAGAGGAAGTAGAAAGGAAGGAATGATTATTGAAAGAAACAGTGACTTATTGAACTTCCGCGAATGGCGCGAAACACAAGAATTCATACTAGCGATGAATTTTAATTAAGTCTGTTACGGTTTACGAAGACAGTTACGATGAAACGGATCGATTGGCTGCTCTAATTAGTTATACAGCAGAGGAGAGCACTCTTTTTCCTTAACCCTACGTCACTTTCATCCCTCAGCTTTCTCTCTCCTTCTCTTCATCCCCCCTCCCCCTCCCCCCCCCCCCCCCCCCTCTCTCTCTCTCTCTCTCTCTCTCTCTCTTATGTAGATTCGTAAGGAGAATTCGGTTGATATTTAGGAAGGCGAACTTGTCCGAAGGGTTGGCACATGAGACAAGGCGGCGCTAATTGTAAAGTCAATTATGACATTTCCACGAATCCCTTTAATATCAGGCGCGGAAAGTAACGGCGGGACCTTTGTCATCTCTACCGTCATCTCCACCCTTTAGTATTATTCTCATCCTCTCTCTCTTTCCGCCTCTCTCTCTCCTTCCCTCCCTCTCTCCCCTTTCTCTTTTCCTCTCTCCTCTCTTTCTAGATTCGGCTGCTCGCCAACATGAATCTGGGAAAATTAAGTTACGTGTGCTAGTGACAGATGTCCGTGGTCGAAACGAATGAACAATACGTGCTACCGCGCGCTCAAACTCTTTACGACGCTCTTTCGCATTGAAAATCGTGATAAAGAGATGCGTACTTGAGGATTCGCCCGTCCAGGATGAGTAGCGATTCTGAAAAAGTAGGAATCAAATTTTCTAAGAGCACACGTAATATTAACGTTCCCCGTTCTTACCAGTACGCATTGAGTAAGTTTTATTGTTTCGGACGGATTTCTAGAGGGAAGAGCAATTTACAATTGTAAATGGAGCTGAAGAGTCGGTTGAAATTAAGACAGTCGCAGATAATGCAGATATAGGCAAAAAGAGGATGCTTAAAATACTATATAATATTAAGCAAAAGTTCTTATAATGAGTTGCAATTTCAAAAACAATTAACTGTTTTTGAATATAGAGATTTATAAAAGTTACAGAATTATAATCACTCTTAATGGCGAATTGTATTACAATAATTGTGATTCAAACTAAAGTAAACGTAATTTACAATTTTATTTACTATTACATAGAAAACGTGTTTCATAAATTGCAACAATCTTTAATCTATTTAGAATAGTTTATTTGTTAAATGTCAAAAAATGTAATATTTTATTATCTTCACACAAGAATATTTTCCTACGTTATATTTTCTGGTGTAAAACCATGGTTTACAAAACTTATTTGGATAAACATCATTTCACCCTTCCCTGATTTTGTATGTACCGTCAACACTTTCGTGTTTCTCGCGTTGAGAGCTCGAAAACTTTTACTACGTCCGTCGAAAACGCTCAGCTTAACCGAGACCGGTGCGCTCGGCTATATTTTCGCGCTTTTCATCCACTTTATCTCCGGTTTTCTCACGCGACCTAGACGTTTCATATATTTTGTGCGCTCCTCTAGCATCAGTTCACGCTAGACTTCAAAGACTATTCTGCCTACGTGCCTTTTGACACAGTTCTTTTTGATTCGATGAAAAACGCTGATGTTCTTTACGCATCGCTGGGCATTTTAGAATTCTGATATATGTTAAACCCAGCCAGAAATGATTAGTCGAATCGACATGTATCAATAATAAATTAATGTCGAATACTATACTAGGAAAAAAATGTCTTCATAAAAATGAAGCTACTTGAGATATTTTTTAATAGCAATTAAATATTTTATTTATAATATATATTCGGAACTATTGTAGTACTGTCGGAAAAAGTCGAAAAGTCGGCTAGTACTGGCTGTTTAGGGGTACTTTACTCTTGACGTGCAGTGCCAACGCGCGGATCGAAAAATTGTTTAAACATATTAAAAAGATGGGTAGTGTCACTAAAACCGATCAGGAACTGTAGTACTCTTCGAGTACTACAAAATGGCGCAAAAAAAATAATTTTTTTGAAAGTTGAGGTGCGAGCTCTTTTCTTAAAAATTTATTTAAAAATATTTAATGGCCGGTACTATTGTTATAATCGATCAGGAACTGTAGTACTCTTCGAGTACTGTGAGATTCCGTCATAAAAATCGGCTTTTTCAAATCTTGCGGTGCCACGCGAAGTTAGCACCGCATATTTTTATTTTTTTAAATTTTTGACCTAAATCAATAGTACTATTGATGAAACCTATCAGGAACTCTAGAACTATTGCGGGTGCAAGCAGTACTGTTATTAAAATTTTTCTATTTTTAAAGTTGAGGTGCTAACTTTACAGAGACTAAAGTTTGTAATATTAATTGTTATATATAATAATATAATCAGCATTCTGTAAACAAGTTTTCTTATATTAACATTAAAATGATATCAATTATATAGTATATAAATATATTACAATGTATTAAATCATGTGCATATATCAGCTATGATCTAATGTTTTATAAAAAATAATCAAGCTTGTATTTTTTTATATGGGAAAATATAAAATTATAAATATAAATTCGTAAAATAAAAAATTAAAAGATAAAAAATCTGAAATCAATATGAGTCGATAATCTAAAGCACTTTTTGTCGAAAGAAAAATTGCTGCAAAGGGAAGCAACTTTTATAAGGAAAATACTTGCGATGAGTGTTCACAGGATAACAGGCGAAGAGAATAATACAAGGGCTATTAATGGATTTAACTTCCAAGCGTCGTTATATTGAAAGCATAAATTATCATTGGTTCCTTTTTCTTCCAGAGAACTGTCTGGCAAAACTAATTAACGCTGTTAAGACTACGCGTAATAAAAACAAAACTTGTCGTCTGAGCCGATTGAAAAACGAATCAATTTACGCTCGTCTGTCGACTGGCACTTGTAACTTCGCTCCTCATTCTTTCTCATTACCAGAAAACCCTCCACTTAAATTCAATTTCAATTCGACATATCAAGTAGGATACTATTAAGATGTCAGATTGTGTTTTTCTAGGCACGACATTTATTCGAGTTTTATTTAATTATATACTTATATGTCAATTCTCGTTTCGATTGTATCCTAGTTTTTTTATACGGTATTATTGATTAGAATAATAAATTTGACTTATTGTATTAGAATTTTATACAAATGCAAGTATGAATTTGTTTTTTTCGACATTTTGATTAAATGTAATCCTTTGATGAACAAAATATGATATACTAAAAGTTTAGCGATCTATTTTATAATAATCATATCATACGTATATTTTCGCGTTTATTACACAGTAGATAATCCTTTTAATAGTACAAGAAATTACGTATTCTCGTGCTATTTGTCGTGCTATTCAAAGGATTTAGATCGAACAATTAATGAATGACATGGGGATTTCTCTTGATCTATTCTCCACTATCTTGTTTCCAGCCTAACCATAATAGAGGGATATGAGGGTGTTTCTGAAGGTTGTCATTAATTTCTAAGGATAGGGGAAAAGCACATTTCTATCGCGCTGTACTTCAATTTCATATGTCTCGACAGTTTCATGACGAAGTCAATTAAGCTCTTTTGTTACGCGAAACGTCGCGTCTCGTGAAAAGTAATAACAGTGACGAACAAATGCGTTCGTTTGTTCTAAGAAAATACGGTAAAATAGATTATTCGAAATTCAAGGCGATACGTCGTTTCAGACACGTTGTCAAAAATTATTTCACAGATGCAAGAATTTCACGGCAACCAAAAGGCTCGGCACAGCAGGTAATCCGACACCGGTACGAATGCCGCACGCGCATCCAGAAACGTTTCGCCAGTTTATTCGTTACATCTACACGGGTATGGTAGGTAGCAGTTATGCAATTTAATAGCTTTTTCAAACTAAGTCAGCATTATTAGATATATAATTCTGCAATATTGGTTCTATTCGATACTTTTTTAACACAGTGTGTCCTCGAAATTCTTTCTTTTGAAGTTTTATTTTTATTAAAAAAGTGGTAGAAAAAGCAATTTTAGAAATTGCGATAAATATTTAAACAATTATGTTATGCCATTTATAAATATAGCGTATTCTGCATTAAAAATATTTTCTTCCAAAAATACTTATTATGATACTTTATAACGATTTCTTATATTTATATGTATAAAAATTATAAAATATTTTAAAGTATAATTTTTAATACGTTCCATGATAATTTTTTAAATCCTTTTTTTTAATTAGACTTTATAATATCTTTTAAAATATCGTTATTATTTTCCAATTATTATATATACATACATACATGGAATATACATATATGAGTCAAATATACAATATATATATGTATATTTTAAAGTTTTAAATTATAAGATGTGACAAAGTTTTATGAGTCTGTTCTGTACAAAATAAAAATAAGTGATAATCACGAAGCTTCTAACTGATTGCAGATAATACTACAAGATAGCGGGATTTTCGAAATGTTGGGTCTGGCTCAAGAACTTGGTATAGAAGAACTTTGGAGAAGTTGTGAGGAACACGTGTCTGTTACTTTAAGCCCTGGAAACGCGTGTGCACTTTTAACCGCTGCTTTGGAGGCCCAAGAACGAGTTCCAGGTATTTATCCAAAGTATATTTATATTTTGTATACGCGATAAGATAATATCTATGCTTTTCTATTTTCTAACTGCACTATTATAGTGCATACATGTGAAGAAAATATGTAATATACATAATTTTACTCATTCAATAAATAAAAAATATCCTCTTGCCGACTGTCATGTTTTGCTAGCTATTATACAGGGTATTTAAAGATAAACCATTCAGCATTTTTATGGTAGATAGTACACAGCAATAACACTTCAATGTTTTTTGCAAAAATACTAAGGTTCTTTTACTCAGCATGGTGTGCACCATCTACCATAAAAATACTGAATGGTTTTTTTAACACCCTGTACATTTTTAGCAACATAATACAAATCTACACTATCCACACAATTTAATCATACGAAATATTGTATAAATTTAATATGCACATCATTATAATTCAAATTAAATTATAAAATACAATGTATTAAAAAATTGTTTTTCTGTATACTACATATTATGCGTTATTATATTTATTAAACCAAATATAAAATTATTACGAAAATTCAAAAATATTATTTATTTAAAATTTAAATTTTGTAAAAATATACATATTTCGTACAAAATATCGAAATATACATATCGTAAAATTAAAAAATATCAAAATAATTAATTAAAGTATAAAACAAAATCACAATAATGTATTAACTAGCGATTTTAGGAAATATTTGTAATTATTTATAATATCGTGTATATTTCAAACCAAAAAATACTTTGAAACAACAGAATTTATTGTACATATAAAATTTATTAAATATTTAAAAAAACGGAATTTTAGACCTTTATAAATAATTATGTAAAAAATACGCGATATTATTATAGCAAACATTATTATAGACACAATTAATTTTATCAATCTATAATGAAAGAACTGATCGCGGATAATGCAGAAAATAATCACGATTACTGCTAATTAAGCCTGCGACATAACTGAAAATTATGGGCAATAGGAACAGGGAATAATAGATTCCAACCTATTAGAAATTGTGTGTATCATAATACACAATTTCTCCATTTCCCATACGTTGAAATCTGTTATTCCCTGTTCCTATTGCCTATGTTTTGCAATTGTGCATTAAGCTCTATTACACCGTGCATTTTAATTAACTCATGCATGTACAATAGAGAATATGATATCTCACTACTACATTTAATGCAATTACAGTGTAACAATATTATAAATTATGCTGTTAATCTAAACGCTTCTAATCTGTAAAACAATTAATAGTGAACAACTAATTGCAAACAAAGCATAGAGCGAGTGATTGCCTCTACTGTTTACCACTATACATACAGAATAAATGTTTTAACTACATTATGCGTATAATATGAGGAAAATGATGTTATGTGGAGAATTTATTGTACATTTAACTAAATATTACTACGGTCGCATGGAGTTCGTTTAACGAATCTTTCACACGACATTAACATCACTTATCAACATCATGTACTATATTTAGTTTTCCTATTAAACATAATAAATATGTGCAAAATGATTATAATTTTAATTTTTTATATTTATAATAATTAATATCTAATGTATAAAGCGTATCAATTTTTTATGTTATTTTATTGTTAACGTTTTTTGTATTATTTTCTCGATCGATCTCGATCAATCAATTTAACTATATTCGACTTTTTTCAACGAAAGAATTAGATATCTTCGTATGTATTAATCGTATCGGAATTCACTCACCGGAACTATAACAGTGTCAAGTCGCGATGTACTGCCGAATATACAACTATGGCGAAATGGCGTTGATCGCAAAGACCCACGATAACTGATATGCTTCCGCAATTGTACGTTGTTTTAATCACTACTTCCAATGAAAATTTACGCTCGTTATCCACTTTTAATAGCATAAATTCGCGATTCTCCGATGCGAAGCGTTCGTACTCCGTCTCCGAACCAAACACATCGACGAAACTGTCATGGCGGTCGAGTGAGCGCGCGCGCCAAGTTCGGCATTCAAATCTGGAGAATACAAACAAAGGTTCAACTTATTCTTCATCTTTTTCTAATTTTAGTACTAGAAAAAGAAAGTAAGTTGAACCAAGATTACATGGAAAAAATGGTGGCCGTGTAAACATAGTCTATGCTTGAAAATTAACAATTTTTTGTAAAAAAAAAAAAAGGTGAAATACGAACATTTCGATATTACGTGGCGCTATCTGACGAGAACGCAAGTCACTAAATTTGAATAATATTAGACACGCCGAGATGACTGTAGATAATAGAAGATCTCACAGAGAATAATCAAACATCTACAATCGATAAATTTCGCTTAAATTAATTTATGTGTGCTGTTGTTAGACTTTTAATTAATATTTCGTAAATAAATATTATATAAACTCAGATGCATTACCGTTACATAGTGATTTGCAATTCTCGATGATCAAAATAAATCGCAATAATAATTAATGAACATCGAAATAATATTGAAGATAATATATTTTTGTAAATGTCAGAAAAAAACAATCAAAGAGAGTAATTATACTTTATCGTAATTATTTATTAGAGAAATGAACTTTTTTTTGCTATCAATGAGATTTCTATGAAACCTATGAAACCGAAAACTAGTGACTAGTTTCGCGCAGCACTGTTACGTTGGCATCATTGTTACGTTGGTATCATTTTGACGACGCCAACAACGCCATAATAGTTACATTACATTCTTTAATTTTCGACTGTCGGCTTTCACGGTTACGAAGCATTTCGCCTTCGGAGCACGCTTGCAGGGTATATCGCTCGTTTATCACCCAGTTTTTAAATACCGACGCAAAAATGTCGTACAAGGGGCCGCAAAAAGTTCAGAAGGTGATGGTACAACCCATCAATTTGATATTTCGCTATCTGCAAAATCGCTCACGCGTGCAAGTCTGGTTGTTCGAGAACGTTAACCTGCGGATCGAAGGACACATCGTCGGCTTTGACGAGTACATGAACCTGGTACTGGACGATGCCGAGGAGTATCATCAGAAGACGAAGAACAGGAAGCCGCTTGGACGTATTATGCTAAAAGGCGATAATATCACTCTGATACAAAATACCAATCCCACAACGAACTAAGGAGGGACATAACCTCGACCCGGCGTCGATTTTTGGCGGGCGCCGGGTAAGGCCGGCTCCGATTCGGGGTCTTTTTTGGACTATACGAGAGGAACTCTCAGGGAGACTATTTAAATGCGATAACTCTTTGCGCGTGCGAAAAGAAATGTATCGGGTGAATCGATCAATTTGTATTTGTTACCTGGATAGACACAAGTTTTCATTATTTGAGTTTAAGTCTGAACAAATGCGATATATGATTAAATTCTATTGTGAGAAAAGGGTCATTCAGTGTTTTATATGAATTAATGCACACTTCATTATTTAATTTATCTTACCCACTCAAATATAAGTTTTAGGTATATGTAATCATATATTGTGTGTGCTGTCTTAGAATATATATGTCGTTCATCGTAAAGCAGAATTTTTGTGATTCACTTCAAACGTGTATAAAAAGATAAACAAGATGACTAAAATGTATATTAACAATTATTAAAATAGTTCCATATTCTAAAACATTTTCTTTATTTTTACCTATAACATCTACAGACATTGATTTAAAAAATGATCTCTATAGAAAAGTACAGAGGTAATGTGATATAATTATTTAAATGTATGTTTATCAAATAATGTAATTTAATAACTATCGTTTATTTAGGAATTACAATAAAATATATCTTACAAAACAGTATATAAAAAATGAGTCTAATACTTATATTATTTATTATTCTTATTGAGAATAATTTTTTAATCTGTATGTATGTAAAAATATTTTTAAATTCTTTAAAACATTTTTAAAGAAAAATTTCTGTATTCATTGAAATTTATCCACAGCGATTCCAAAAATTAGTTTTTATTTAATTTATACTGAAAATTTTACATTTATTTTGATATACATTCATACTACTACAACTATAAATTAAGGCAATAGAATTAAAGTTTAATATTTTTTTAGTAATTTTATTATTTTATATTTTGATAATATTTTAGTGATTTTATTTTTAAAAGGCAGGTCAATTAAATTTAATCAGTCAACTTTTATTTAATTTTAAGTAATATATTTAGTAGGAGAAGTTTTAGATTATAAAATTGTTTTTTATTAACTTTATTTTCTATTCTCATCCTTATGTTTCAGGTGGGAAAACTGCTTGCTCATCCTTTATCGAAAAATGTTTTGCTTTCATCGGCGAGAATGCTATGGATACAGTGAAGACAACGGCTTTTTGCAATCTTCCAAAGGACGCTTTAGTGAAATTGATCTCGTCAGATTATCTGGGTTTGGAAGAAGAAGATGTATGGCGGGCGGTTCTAAATTGGGCCAAATATCAGGTTCACTTTTTAAAAAATTCCATTTTATCTCATTTAAAGTGCTCCGAATTTGTTTATTAAAAGTAAGGAAAACTTTCTCGATTGTAAACTATTAATTTTATTAAATACTTTTAGGCAGGAGTTACGCAGCCTACACAGCACTGGACTGAAGAAGAGCGCATGAGAGTGTGCCAGCATTTGTCGGGTGTAATAAATCACGTACGATTGCTGTTGATCGATAGCCAGGTGTTTGCGGAGGAGGTAGAGCCGACCGGTGCAGTACCGATAGAGATGTCGTTGGAGAGGTACGAATTTTTCAATCCCGATCGATCGAGCGGCTCGAAATTTCTAAGGTACGATCTAACGGGACGGCACTCACCGTTTGGCGGTATCGCCTTCGATCTCGACGTTTCGCTTTAGGTATAGGTATGCAGCTCTGCCGAACAAATACTCGGAGGTTTGCTCTGACAAACGACTGCAGCCACGAGTGAGCCCGTTTCTCTTCCCGGGCTCGCAGATTCTGTCCAGAGACAAGGTCGGTTTCCAGCGGGTTCTGAATCAGTGGTACGGCGTGTCAAAACAGGGGTGGCGATTAGTTTATCGGTAGGTTTTAAGAATATGTTGAGTAGAAAATGTTTTAGAAGTAAAACACATCAGATAATATAATCGATAGCAATATTACAAATTTATTTCTATCTTTTGAATATTTCAACGCGTTGATAATTTTCCTTCCAATGCTTTATACATACACAACTTGTACCAATTTTCATCATAATTATATAATTGTAGAAATTATACAGAAAATGTTAATGCTTTTGAAGAAATATGTGAAACAGGCAGTGTAATAATACAGAAGATACAGGAAAAATGATACTTAAGAAATATATACTATCTCTATTTATTTAATTAATAAAATGTTGATCTTATTCCATTTGTCTTTAATGCTGAGTATTTTTAATCCTACAATATTATCTTATTTAATTATAGTTGTATTATAGTTTATATTACTTTATTTATTCTTTGCATGTATAGCATGCATACATCTTGCATTATATCGTTACAATTCCATTGCTTTCAGAGCATCTACTCATGGTTACTCAGCAGCGTCTTTTCATCGGCATTGTGATAATGTTTGTCCAACATATGTGATAGTGCTGGTAAGTATAAATATTCATTCATAAATATTCAGATTTTTTTGTAATAGTTACAAAATACATCCTATTATGTCTCAGGGAGTGCGTGGTGAAATATGCGGAGGATTCAGCGACGTTCCATGGGGTAAAACTAACTCGAAAGCGCAATACATTGCTTCCGAAAAGAGTTTTCTTTTCACGTTAACGAATAATCAAGATGTACCACCGACTAAGTTCGACATCGTGAAGAAATCATTTGCTATCTGCTATCATCCGGAGTAAGAATCATCGTGATTTTTACAGATCATCGCTATTATGTGCTTCAAATAATTTGATTTAATGTAATCTATTGTACAGCATAGGGCCGATTTTTGGTGCCGGGGCTGATCTACTTATAGCAAGCAACTGCAATGTTAACAAGGAAAGCTACAGCAATCTTCCGCATAGTTACGATGGAGACCACGCATCTAATCAATTGCTTATGGGAGATTATCATTTCTCGGTAATCGACTATGAGGTTTTTACTCCAAGTCATCCAGCACCGAAATCTAATCATTAAATGAATTGCCGTGATAAACTATCATTTGCATATACATCGCTTTTCTCATAATAAATATTTGCGTAATAGTAATTTATCCTCCGCTTGCGGAAATTATTTTACATTATACATCGAAAAGTAATCATATCGATAATTTATCACACAAATTGTACTCTTATAATCATATATATATATATATATATATATATATATATATATATGTACAAGCAGCGGCATAAGCAAAGACTGATTATTTTTTACCTTGGTATCTTCATGATTGTGCTTTACTTATACCAGATACATATATGTACTTACATTTTTGTATCTCTCGATTAAATATCAAATTTATCATTTCGGTACTTACGTGATACTCATTCGACTTCGACACTTGATTATCAAAAAATCATAGGTACAATTCTATGATTTTATCCTTATAGAAGAAATATTCGATAAAAGAAAGTACAAACGTACTACTTTTGCGGAACTATATGTAATAGAGGACTTGTATATTCGCCAAATAGAACATTGCAAAAACACGTATAGGCAATGAGAAACATTTGTGAAATCGTTTAAATATTCTTGGCACACGTACTATTTGAATATTCATATCGAAGTTACGACTAAATACGGCCACCTGTCGTCTGATATTATCACGTTAAACAGTTAACGGTTAAGTTTGGTCTAGCCAACAACATATTCTTGTGGTTTTTTTACCGTGAATTCGCGTATATATCATTGGAATATAAGATCTTAGGGCAAGATTTTATTTAATATTTTAACAAAGTAATGATATATTTCTTTTATGAAGTTAAACAGTATTAAAAAATTGTTATTACTCTTTTGATTCAATATTACTAACATTTTTCAAAAATATACTTCTGTATATGTTATAATGACATAATTATGTCATTTTCTTTATTACGCTTGATAATATTATACGATAATTTTATTTTGCAATAATATCAGTAATGTTTGACCGTACAAATAGATATATTTACTAATCAAAAATTATTATTTAACATTACTTAAAAATCGGAATGTTTTATTACACTTTTTCTGTTAGATAGTACCTGTAATTGTAGAATATAGTTGTAAGTATTCGCCAATTTTACAGAAAAAATGTTTATTGCTTAAATTAAAGGAATGGACACATGTTTTATTTAAAAACGGATTATATATCTTACAAAATGATAAAAAAATAATTGTTTTATTGTATAATACCTCTCTCTACATCAGTATAATACAAATAAGTACTTACTGGCCCCGGTCCCGTTCCCACAAAATATGCCGATCATTTATTTACAGATTATCCCCAACGCTGTTTAACGATGTATACGACATGTATATTACAGATACGCATTTGACTAAAATATTGAAATAAATACAATAAACATCTTCGGGATAAAACGATTTCTTATAACTGCTGGTACATTACTGGCCTTTATTAACTACATATTCGATCTACAAGAAGTACCTAATGAGAGACGCACTGTTAACAGTTGTTAACATTAACTAAGCAATTTGATAAGATTATACACACATTATATATATATATATATATATATATATATATATATATATATCTTACAATTATACAACACAATATTACAGTTCGAAATATGTAATGTGGGTTTGGAATGGCGATTAAACAAATGTGAAAAAAATGATAATACATATACTTAAAAATATGAATTTTACATACATAAATTCATATGTAATATTTTCTAACCCATGTGAACGCATTCGCAAGATATGAAGGTCTAGAATTCAAACGAACACATACTGCACTTGATATTATTTGTAACAATTTTATTTTTATGATGGTTCAAGTGTTACGTAAAAGATTTTAGTATCAAATATTGTTCCAACTGTAGATTTCATAAATAAAATTAAAATCACTTTTTCTTTTTCTTGAGAACATATCGTTTTCTTACTTCAAATTAAATCACGACTCAACAAATATAATTTTCGAATTATTATGAATAAATTAACATCGCCTATCGGTTATAAAAAAATGAACTTGCTTACCTTTATAAAAAATCATCAAAATAGTAACAACTCGAAAAGATGGTTAAAAAAATCATTAAATACATAATCAAAAAGAGTGATTTTTTTGTAAGAATCGTAAAACGAAAAATTTCATCATATTAATGAATATATTTTTTTGGTCGATATTATTTAATTAGTTAATTTTCTGTTAAGTAGAAAAATAATTTTTCTTCTTTTTCGAGAAAATAAGGGCCATCATACACAAAATGACAAAAGATGCACCATAAAGACGCTGGACCAATGAGTATCCGACGTAAAAACGCCATATCGATTTACACAAGATGTTCATTGGTCTAACGGCCTTATGCAGTGTTCATGCAATTTATGTCATTTTGTGTATAATGGTCCTTGGGCTGGGTTTGCTCCACCTTTCGGTCAACTTCAACTGTCTTACTCTCTTACGTTCTTATTCTTTTACTCTTGTTTATCCAATAGATCACTACATAATTTATCCAAAGATGGAACAAACCTTATAGAATTCCATTCAAAGAACTTTGAATGGGATTTGAATTCTGAAAATGGAATCTAATCTTTTAAGTTGTATTACTTTTGAAATAAAGGAGTGATGGACGTCGTATGTTATCGGTCTTTAATTTTCAACTTTTTAAATAATAATTAGATATTATTAATTAAATTGTTTTTATCCAGATAAAAGTCAGTTAAACATACATTTAATTTTTGATATTATAATTTGATACAAAATTTCAACTTTTAATCTTATATACAATCTCACATATATACACAATCTCATGTTGTATAATTGTCATTAACTTCTCTCTCTCTCTCTCTCTATTTTCTCCGATGAAAATCTCGAAGTATCAGTCGTCTGACACGTAGTCGGAGATACACAAATCGAATGATTTTTCGTCTACCGGATCGCGATTGTGTGTCCTTCGTGCGGCCTGCCTTAAATTCCAGAAAGACACTACTGGTCGTGAACGGGTCTACAAATCGCACCGTAACTCCGCCTTAAAAGCGAAGTTGTGTTCAGCGGTTACGTTACCAAACAAAACGACGGCGAAAATCGTTCGTGACAGTTGTGAGAATCCAGAGCCGAAACGCAGGGAAAAAACGTCTCCCTGAAATTCTCGACGTTCGTGATGGCTCTTCGCGAATTCATTTGCGAAAGATAGGTCCTTGAGGAATTTTTAAGTATGAGTATCACTATCGTAAATAAAGGGACAGCACGTGCCGTTCGAACTTTTAAAGTCGAGATTTTAAGCTAAAATTATATAAATTTTGTACATGCATTATATGACTTACAAAATTTAAATGTAGATAAGTTAAAAAATTCTCAAAGACAATAAACCATATTATATCTTAAGGAGAAAAAGAAAATTCAAAACATCTTTAAGGATACGCATTAATTCCAACAAGATTTTCATCTTTAAAATTTTGAATTGATTCTTATAAAAATTGAAATATGTGGTGTCTTCAATTTGTCTTGTATACATATATAGTATATATATATATACTATATCACTTGTAGTTTGTTAAAATCAAGTGGATATTCCGTTACTTAAAAAGAAAAAGAAACCTATACACTATTAATTTCTTTAAATTTCGCCGCGTGGAAACTTTCTCGCTATCAAATGTACCACGAGAGAACGAGAAATCCACGAAGAATGCCGCGCGTCGTCGCACCGGAAACGACATCGGTGCTGGCGTTTGTAAGATAAAACGGCTACCGACATCGTATACCTGTACGCACTACACGTGTGTGCCGTGACGTGTTCATCGAACGACGCTCGCGTTCTCCGTCGTTCATCTTCGTCCCGCGTGATTACCACGAATGAGCGAGCGAACGATGCTGGCTCGCGCGCTCGTTAATTAAAACGGCGGAATCTCGTTACAGACGATTGGTTGTTGCGCAAGCAAGCATCGATCGGAATTGAGACGTCGGCCGTCGTAATTTTTTTTCTTTCCTTCACACTCGCTCGTGTGAATAGAGCACGCGTGCTCGTGCATTCAGACTCGTGCAAAACGAGGAGGATCGCGGGATTTCGGTTGTACGCGAGTGAGAAGGTAATTAGGGGATGCTGCGAAACACGCCATTCACGCGGCCATTGAACACGTGCGTATTTCATTGTCAGATCGTTGCATCGCTCTTTTTACTCTTTCATCATCTAAAAGTAACATTATGTTATAATTTCGTACTCAACAATATAACTTACATAACACCATGTGTATATATTACATTTATAGTGATGAGTGCGAAATTATAACGTAGATTTTATCTTACTTTTAGTTAGTGTCGACTGAACTGCAAGTGTTTGTACTATAGGCATCGAGATAAAAAAATTCCTATTTTTGTTTCCGCGGTTATATAAATATATAGTTACATATTGGAATTTTACATGCTATTTTTGTAGAATAGATTTCATAGAATTAAGAGCGCAAAAAATCTATGGAATTTTCCAATATTTTGAAGATTGAAGAGTTTTCATATCAAGAATATGTAATCAAATATATACTAAAATAAAATGTCAGTATAATGTATAAAAGAAAATATGAAATACAGAAAATTACAACATTATATTTACAATTGATATTATATGTACATTTTTTATTTAAAACTGGATTTTGCAAATATAGCATGTACAGCTGTACGAAAAGCGCTCTTTTCTTGTTAGATTTATTTATATTTATTCGTCTGCATTGTTCGTTTGCAATAAGACTTAGAAATACTGTATATTTGAAGGTATTGCTGTGTATACGTGACCAATTTTCTATTTTTTTTATAATACTAACATAGACGAATTAAGCCCATTAAACGTCAATTCGCTAGACATGTTTGTAGCTGACGTCGCGAAAAACTGTGACAATATTATGGCCATTATATCTAATACTAATGACTAATGCCGCCATCAGTGCTCATTGTTATTATTACATCTTACTTCGCTTTCCTATTGTTTATCACTCTTGTTATACTATTACTTCACGTTTACAAAACCCCCGTGACCATGCATAGA